AAACAATGACAACATATGAGAATTTGAAATGGAAACAATGTGTATGGAAAAAGCTATACAAGACCGGTACCGACAGAACGGATCAGACTTAAAAATAATATAGCACATTCATGCTTGTCAAAAAAATTACACAGAAAACTTAAGCAAATGTGATTTACTCACCAGAAATTGAGAATGGATTGATTGATTGATCACTGCTTAATGTCCGTTGGAAAATATTTTATGCATGTTCAGGACGTGAACAAATTTACAATAAATGCAATAGGTAGGTCCTGTACAAGAGGCCGTCCGGGATGAAGGTCGGGGAAATTTGGACTGCCACTTGAAAATGAGGTTGTATTGGATTGGAGCAGAAATTCTGCCTGCAACAGGCCATCTACGGACACCTCTTAATGTTGAAACAAGGGTTCGTAACTTGCATAAGAGCGTGTCTCTCACTGTACCCGAGACATCTCCAATTCTGACGGGACGTGGCTGCGTACTTGTACATCCCAAACAGCTAAACAGACGCCTTACATTGGCAAGGGTTTTACTGCCAGTCGGAGGAAGATCAATAGTGACTATATTTCTATTTCCAAGTCATCCTTGGGGCGAATTATTTTTGGAGAATAGAAAATAGGAAAGAACAAAACTCAAAGGCATATTTAAAAAAACAAACGAATGTCTATTTATAGTGGCAGCTTTCAAAAATATTATTTAATCGGTGGTAACATGATTTTGCATAATAATTTTTTCAAATATTAAGGGGACAAAGTCCCCTATTACGGAAGAAAAATCAATAAAAAAAAAAAAAAAAAAAAAAAAAATCGGGAAAATTTCCCGAAATTTTCATTCTACTAATGAACTCAAAATCTTTAACTTTTTTATTTTCAGACTTTTTTATTTTCCCGCATTTGCGCAGAAATCTACTTCCTTTTTCCGGTCTCGTTTGCATGAGTCTTTGAGTAAAATATATATTTATCAGTCTAGTAAAATATAGGAAGGAACGCAATACCAATTCCATTTTTAATAATTCCTTGAATGGCTTGATATGAAAAAACGTTACCTGATAGCGTTTCTTTGTTTACATTGAATATGACGTCATAACATAAATAACGTCACAACTAAAATTCCGAACAACAGAACCGAAATTGGAAACGTAAGGGTATTTCCGTTTCTTTTTTGAACAGATTTTGAAGTAAAAATATGTTTGAATTAAAAAAAAATAATTCATACAGACTTCGTCCCCTTTCACAGGTAACGCCTGCCTCATATTACATCTTGAAGAGAAAGCTAAATCTGATATAATTTGTTAGTTATGTAATTAAGTTTCCAAAACGGAGTTTTGGAGACTTTATGTTTTTGTCCCGTTTCTTATTATTATTATTATTATTATTATTATTATTATTATTATTATTATTTTTATGGCACCCTCAATGGAGTTGGGGTGACATATTGTTATTATCCCCGGCTTAGTATAGTTCTAGGAATTTGATTGATTAACGCACGTCGTTACAAAACCCATAGCCCCTGGGTGTTGCTAACCCATATACCCGGACGTTGCTATCCATTACCCCGGGGGACGCCACGTGCGTTTTCCTTAGTTCAATGGTTGTTCCTTGTAAAATATAAAATTCTGTAGATTATCCATGATGTCTGTGCTTAAATGTTTAATCCACTAACGAATTTATCTTATGATGTCGATCGTTTGCACTCATTTTAGTGAATGCATCACTTGGCTGCCACATTGTCCATAAATAGAACTCCTGACCTAGTTATGCAAATGACCCACGTTGACGTCACACCGTCTATGATGTAACTCTCACAACATTGAGCGCCAAATTCGACCCCTTCCAGTTTCTCTCTCTCCGGATTAAAACGTCTTGTATTTGACTACCTGTAGGGTTCTACCCAAACTCCGTACAGTGATCGTTTCCGTTCCGGAACTATTTTCCTTTACTCCATCAATCACTGCCACCGGATTTCGAAATTCGTTCCAAAATTTGGAACGAATATTTACGCAAATATATTTTCTCAGAACCATTAGTTACCGGCTTGAAAAACGTCAATTTTATAATGTCTTTCTAAATTTTAAACAACTTTTCCTAGATATAAAAAATGAGCATTAAATTTACGCACAACGACAGGACTTTTTTTTATGTATGTATTGTTATCCTCCCCAACCCTTTCGAAAGTAAATATGGAGGGAAAAGTGAATGATTGTGAATCAGATATAGATTTAATGTATGTTAGGCGTAAGTCCAAAGGAAAAACAAGCCCAAACGCTGCAACATTTACTTGACCAGGAACAAATGATTTAAATTTGATTTTGCGGTTGTCAACGGAGAAAGCTTAGAGTGACATAAACTTCAACGTGTTGAAGGCGGTCATTACAAAGTAGAAGTACCAATATAGTTCTGCAAGCCTTTCCTTTTCTCACACAACATTATGAACATAAATGGAAATCTTTAACCCATTCATAGGCGGATCCAGCCCCCGGGCAAATTTTGGTTTATGTAGGGAATCACTGAAGCATGCCTGGAGCAGCCCCTACCCTTTTTTTTCGGTCAGTCAGTGCACCCCTTTATAAAAAGTTCTGGATCCGCCACTGCCATTGTTACATTACTCCAGTAAATTGACCCTATATAATTTTTTGATGTTCCAAAAAAAGCAGCCCAGACCTGTGTTTACCTTGATCAAAATGAGAAAACAAGGGATCATATTTCTCTTGAGGGATTGTCTTTCAGACAAATGGGTTATTTTCCTGTGCATACGGTAGACAAGAAAAAAAAACTTAGCGTTTTAACTTAAAAGGGGGTTAGGGAATTCCTTACATTTGAAATAACCTTTTTAAAGAGGGACCGGTCCTCTTATTTTCAATAAATAAAGTAAATTGATGATGTCCATGAATACAATACCAGATAGAAGTATGGTTCTGTGGGAAAAGTTTTTGCAAATAATATAAATATGTTCCCTTTTTACTCTTTTGTACTTTCACTATGATAAGACATTTCAGTATGAAATCTCAGTATGAATTAAGAGGTTGTCAGTTAGATTACAACCCTACAATTTTACATATATAAACTTAGTATGCATCATGAACATATGATAGTGATACACTTAGAGACCAATATGCAGTCTTTTAACTTCACACATTTGTGACTAATTACCAAATGGCAATGTTAACCTTCTCTTCAATATGTTAATACATGGTGAGATTCAGCATATCAAAGAACCAGAAGAATTTAATTTTTGATGAAAACCAACTAAGTTTAATTTTGTTTTCATCACCTAATTCCTAAATACAAATGTACTAGTAGATAAGACAATAACCCCCAAAATCTATCTCAACCTTCATTTTGTGGTATGGAACCTTGTGGTATTATTTCATACAGATCCTTCACTTATACTTTAGTTATTGTCTGGAAACTAAATGTTTTCTGATGATGACATTTGTCGATGATCACCATACCATTATACAGCCACAAAATTTTTTAGTAGTTGTATAAAAAAATGATATATGCAGTTTAAATTTATGTTACTTCTGAGAAGGAAAACAAACCTCCCCCCCCCCCCCCCCCCCCTTTAATCGATAAATGGTAGGTGTAAAAGTGACAGTCCCAATAATTATGAAACCTATTCTCGTTCAAGCATTTTACCTAGACACCTATGAAATAACATGGGGCCCTGCCGAATGGCGGTCGCCATATAGTAGTCTGTCCATCCGTCTGTAACAAATTGTGTCGCTCTATATCTAGAGAACCCTTATAATTTCATACTTTATACATGACATGTGTATTAACCAACACCAGAGGGTGTGTCATAATGTTTGTATAACTTCCTAGGTCAAAGGTCAAGGTCAAAAACTTTGGTCTTAAATGACAACCCCATGTCCTATGGTAAAGATCGTGTCCACTTTATATCTTGAGAACCGTTATGATTTCAAAGTTTATACTTGACATGTATATTAGCCAACACAAAAGAGTGTGTCGTAATGAATGTACAACTTCCTAGGTCAAAGGTCAAGGTCAAAAACTTTGGTTTCAGTTGAAAACTCTATGTCCTTTAGTAAAGATACAAATTTTTTACCACACGTTATTTACAGCGGGGCCCACAGAGCTGGCTCCCATCTCAACGATATCTAGTTCTTTCAAGTTCTGAACCTTGCTGCATTAGTTTTTATTATTCTATTTTTATTTCTGGTCATCAAAAAAATTATCTTGACCCCTTCTCTCTTACATGTACTCTTTACTTTTACTGCACATTAACCAGTATCAATTATTTAATATACACGATTGGGGACTGGGTTTTAAGCTAACATATATCTTGGTAGCTGTTACATCCAAATTATGTCCTGATACTCTTGGCATTAACAATAATTGTTATTGTAGTTGTGTGCATTAAACCAGTGATGAATATATGTACTGTAAATCAATTGCTACTATTTCAAGTTGAAAAGGACTGTGGTCCAATGTCCTGTTTGTCACTGCTAAATTATTGTCTCACTAGCAACTAAATCATCTCATAATTTTTATTCAGTAGGCAAACAAAAACTGGAAGCTACATGGAGCCTGAATTTCACATCTGGTAAAATATGCCATATTTATTTAAACATCAAATTAAGGACATAAAATAATTGTCATTGTAGTTATAAAGGTAATCTTATGCATAAAATCTACCATTTAATCAAAAGCGAACATGATGTACCCATTTTCATGATTTTGAGATCCAGTTAATCCTGTTTGCACAATAATAATTCATTTGCAAGATAACTTTTATTACTGTTTTCTTTTTGTATTTTTATATATATTCACACTTTTCGAAGAATGGACAATTGAAAGTTAAAACTTGTCTGTTTTGGAAAACTGTATGTAACTTAAGTCTTGTTTTTTGTGTTGTTGGAATGCTGTCCAATGGACCTTTACCCAACATCTCCTTGTATTCATATGCTTAAATCTTTGGAAAAAAGTTAAATTAGAGTTTTATTTTCATACTGCTTTGCAAAAACTGAGAAAAAAATATTCTTTATTTCTTTTTTAATTATTAACAACAATATGTTCATGATAAAATTATGAAGACATACAATTTTTTCAAAACAATTAATAAAATGGAAATTAATATTAAAAAATGCACACAAAGTTTCATGCGCAACTGGTATGCACTCCAATTCACTCATTGAAACATGAATGATCCTTGTTTGAGATTGCATTAGTCACTGTCTTGTCTGAAAGTTTTTTGAAAGTGTGAGTCTATTCCATTTGTGTATATAATCTACAGGCTTTCAATGCTTCTCATGTAACTTGATAATCTTCCAAAGATCAGATTGACATCATTGTGATCTGAAAATATAATAACACATTTTTGTTTTACTTTGTAACTTCTGGTTTTGATGTAGGTAAGGGACATTATATGGTATGCCATTGTTTTCCCATCCATCCATTCAAATGTCAACATTTTGTTCAATATCTCAAAGGAGAAGTGGTTATAAAACGTTATCATTTGGCCCAAATATTACTTCAAATTAAAAAGTTACCCTAAATATTGTAAAATTTGTCCAAACTAGACTCAGGTACAAGGTATTCAGATAATATTGACTTTATTAGCTCACCTGGCCCAACTTTTACAAAAATGTGTCCAATGACCCCGCCTGCCAAACAACATGGCCGACATGGCTAAAAATAGAACATATGGGTAAAATGCAGTTTTTGTCTTATATCTCTGAAACTAAAGCATTTAGAGCAAATCTGACAAGGGTAAAATATTCATCAGGTTAAGATCTATCTGCCCTAAAATATTTAGTCGAATCAGACAACCGGTTGTTGGGTTGCTGCCCCTGAATTGGTAATTTTAAGGAAATTTTGCAGTTTTTGGCTTTTATCCTGAATATTAATATAGAGAGATATAAACTGTAAACAGCAATAATGTTCAGCAAACTAAGATTTACAAATAATTCAACATGACCAACATTTTCAATTGACCCCTTAAGGAGTTATTGCTCTTTATAGTCAATTTTTAACAATTTTTTGTAAATTTTTGTAATATTTTACAAAAATCTTCTTCTCTAAAACTACTGGGCCTAATTTAACCAAACTTGGCCACAATCATCATAAGGGGATCTAGTTTATAAAATGTGTCTGATGACGCTGCGTGCCAAACAACATGGCTGACATGACTAAAAATAGAACATAGGGGTAAAATGCAGTTTTGGCTTATATCTCTGAAACTAAAGCATTTAGGGCAAATCTGACAGAGTAAAAATGTTCATCAGGTTAAGATCTATCTACCCAGAAATTTTTGGTTGAATCAGACAACCCGTTGTTTGTTTGCTGCCCCTGAATTGGTAATTTTAAGGAAATTTTGCAGTTTTTGGTTATTATCTTGAATATTATTATAGATAGATATAAGACTGTAAACAGCAATTATGTTCAGCAAAGTAAGATCTACAAATAAGTCAACATGACCAAAATTTTCAATTGACCCCTTAAGGCTTTATGCCCTTTATAGTCAATTTTTAACAATTTTTTTTCGTAAATTTTTGCAATCTTTTACAAAAATCTTCTACACTTAATCTACTGAGCCAGAAAGAATTAACCTTAGCCACAATTTTCAATAGGGTATCTTGATTGAAAAATATATCCGATGACCCTGCCATCCAACCAACATGGCCGCCATGGCTTAAAATAGAACATAGGGATGTACTATACAAGTCTAAGGGAAAATTGTAAAAAAAACAATTTCAAATGGTCACAATTGAAAACTAATTTAAATAATAAGGGGTCTTCAGTTACTATTGTAAGTCTAGTTACTAGTGGGATGACCTGCTTTTAATTTAATTACTGGACCAAATTAAACCAAACTTGGCCTCAATCATTATTAGGATATCTAATACTATTTATTATGATTTAAACCTTATTTTACATGATTTCCAAAACCACAGTAGATACAATGTACAGGTGAGCGACACAGGCTCTTGAGAGCCTCCAGTTTAAACATTTAACGAGTAACCATAGCAACAAACTTGACGAAATTTGTATATTTTGTAAAATTTCTTGTTTTCCTTGTTTTTGGTAATTTTTTTTTTAGTATATTTTAGATTGGCAAAGTATGTGCTCATCAAAGAAACAACTTTATATTTAGTGAGATTATGTCATGTATGTCAATAGTTATAATAAAGGTTTTCTTAAATTATTTTGTTGTTTATTGACTGCGCTTGATGTTTCAATAATGGAAATAACAATGGAAAACTGCATATATTCTACATTTGTCCTCGTTTTCATGACAACTTTATATACAATGAAGTAATTGTGACGTCATCAGATTAAAAAAATCTTATGTTTATTATTCATATTTCTTATATCTACGCATTTCCAAACATCATGTGCCTTTTTTGAATACTTGTCACCAATTTAATTTTTTTTTTGATCAAAAACAGGCCTTTAATAATGCCCCTTCTCCTTGCTTTGAACAATTTCTCATGAAATTTTAACACTACATTTGGATTTAGTTCCCTTTTGATTTTGTTTTTTGGAGTCTGTCGTTCAAAAGTTGTGGGACCTATCAGATTTAGGGTAATTTCTCACATATTAAGCTTGAGTTTGCTTAGAGTATATACTCTCAGATCTGTACTGAAGTGTCTTTTAGTTGTTTGGATGTACAAGTACCCAGCCATGTCCACTCTGTGTTTTTGTTAAATGTATTTCTAATTGTATCCATCTGAAGAGCTAAGACTTTTTCGACTGATTTTTATAGTTTGTTGTTACACCACTGTCCCAGGTTAGGGTTGGGTTGGGCACCAGCAAATATGTTTAACCCCGCCACATTCTGTATGTACGTGCCTGTCCCAAGTCAGAAGCCTGTAATTCAGTGGTTGGTTAGTGTGATACGTATTTGTTTTTCTTTCATTATTTTACACATAAATTAGGCCGTTAGTTTTCTCGTTTGAATTGTTTTACATTTGTCATTTCTGTGTCTTTTATTGCTCTCTATGTGGCATGGGCTTTGCTCATTGTTTAAGGACGTACGGTGACCTACTGTAGGCTATAGTTGTTAATTTCTGTCATTTGGTCTCTTGTTGGAAGAGTTGTCTCATATAATTGGCAATCATACATCACATTCTTGTTTTATATTCACAGTTTATAGCATAAACCATGTAGTTGTATCTCACAATCTGGTCATATAATTAATATCACCATAGTTACTATAAGTAGTGTTTAGAAAAACGTTTGTGAGTATTTGTTTTAATATATAATTTGGTCCTGTATTTACTCAAATATACCTAGTAAAAACTTAATTTTGTGAACAAACCAATTTATAACGTTCATAGAAAATATACTAACAGTGTACCAATCAATTGATTCATATTGAAGCTACATGTACACTGTATATGTAAATTTTCTCAAAGTTTCATTCTGTCTGATTTCAAGTTTTAACAATTACTGTTAACATCTCCAAGGAAACTAAATCAATAATCATGTGAAAAGTTCTTCTGGTTGATGTAGCTGAAAGTAATAATGAAATAATAAAATGAGTATAACTAAAAATAATGTCAACTTTGTGTTGAAATGCAAGGACCTGTATTATTTAACATATAAAAAGTTTGAAAAATAGGGGGGGGGGGGAGTATAATTGACAATGAAAAACTGAATGCAACCTTTTTTATAATTCTTTCACACGCATCGATCTGTAATATCTTACTATCATCATTGATCATAATTAAAGAAATGTATTGAGTGTTTAAGTGTCACATACATTTGAAACTATAAAAAAAAAAGTCATTGTTAATTGCTTGGTTAAAAAATAAGGCTTCTCATCAAACTCAGTTTTCATTTTGACAGTTTGAACATTATTATTAAGCATTAATATTACATATGGAACTATTCAAAATGAGAAGCCACCTTATTTACAAACATTTTTTTAAGAACAATGAAAGTAATCATTTTTATACCATGTGACAGCGAGACGAGATAATTAAATAGTTTTGTTTTATAATTTGACAAAGTAATTAATCCATGCAAATAAAAAATTTATAAAAATAAACCAATACCTAATGAAAACTTTTTGTTTTATTCATTCTGATTCAATCTTAGCACTGTGCTGTTATCTATTGTTTCACCATCTGTAAGATAAAAAGAAAAACATTAGAATTGATTATTGTCATCCTGGAATTAAAGTCAATTTTAAAAGTGTATTTTTTTGCAGGAATAAATTCACTCATTTTGGTTCAGTAAATATTTTTGTAACTTAATTTCTCTAATTCTTCGTCAATTTATCCCTTTCTGTACCCATTGTATAAAAAAAATTTAATCAACGTGTGGTTCGTTTGATCTCAGTTCTTCATTGGTTAAAATCCGATTATGACGTCGAATTTTCTTGCTTTCCTCTGAATTTCCTATTGTGACGGCATGAAAAAAGGCGACCATGCCTGATGACGTCACATAGAAAGAACACATCTTTTTGCAGATCATTCGAAAAGAAGGAATAAATTTGCCTGCGTATTGTTTGAAAATCATAAGAGAAACAGATTCCACCACCAAATCTCGTGTAATACGATATTTATCCACTCTCGACAGTTACATTTTAAATATTTAAAACGCTCGGCAAGCCTCGCGTTTTAAATTTGAAAATTTAACTGTCTCGAGTGGATAAATATTGTATCACACTCGATGCAGTGGTAGAATCTATATATATACATTATGTAGATATGATATTGTTGAAAGTATAGTATCTTCACGGACCTGTATAGTGAACATTTTAGTGATATGCATGTAAAATATTTCTCTATTGATTATGAGAGAAGTTGGAAGTAATAAGAACTCAGTGGCGGATCCAGAAATTTTCATAAGTGGGGCCCCACTGACTACATAAGAGGGGGCCCACTCCGCTCATGCTTCAGTGATTCTCTATATATCAACCAAATTTTTCTAAGAAAAGCCCCCCCCCCCCCCTCTAAATCCGCCTCTGGAACTGTCTACATGTATATGCAAATGAACTACATGTATGGAACTTAAGAGTTACACAAACATAAATTTCAAAAAGTAAAGAATAGTCTTTAAAATCACATACTGTATGCACCATTTTTTATTTCAATTTGAGTAAATTGCTTAATGCTGCATAAAAATCATTAAAATGGTATTAGAACATTAACAAACTGATTAACTTGATTTAAGATTTTATTTTAGCAATACCTTATCAGCATAATCAGGCTTATATACATTTGTACATGTAGATGGGTTTATACATTCTATATCTAAATTCAAAAACGACATAATATTGAGTACATGATAACAAACAAACAAAAATCATTAAAATGGTCTAGTTTTTTTTGTGCTAGAATTTTGCTTCAGGGCTGGACAAAATATTAAATATAAAATGAGAATTTAGATATTGATTCAAGCTCTTTCCTATTATCCAGAACTTTTATGTTAAAGATAGAAACTTATAAAGGGCTCAAAAACATAAAGATTGTACTTTTTTTTAGGGGAGGGGGGATGGGTGGACATTTATAATTGTACATGTATAGTTATAAATTTACTGGATAATACATTAACAAAAAAATATTCTGGAAAAAAAGTAGTAAATTGTAATACAGAAATAAAATAGCTCCCATGCAGACCATTGTAAATTCATACATATAATAAAGGCAAAATGCAATACAATTTTAGTATACAATATATGTGTGTTACATATATTATTTTTCAAATTATAATCCATGAAATTATACCTGAAGTGAGTTTTTGAGAAGTTCAGATTGGTATATAAAAGGAGTTTTGATACTAGTTGGAAACCCTAATTCAACTTAGTCAATTTTGCTCAAACAACCTATTTGAGGCCTTGTATCAATTTGACATTATTTGGAAACTCTTCCCCCTTTCTATAAAAAAATCCAAAAATCCCTGCATGGAGTCCAATTTTGTCTTTTTATAAAATATCTTGAATTCCATTAGGAGCAGCTTCTCTGGAAAATTTGAGTCCTGACAACATTTTTTTTTCTATTTTGTATATGTATTTGATTATTTTACACCAGTTTGATAAAATTAGGGTTGAGGTATTGATAAATTGTGAATACTGTGAGAGGTCTACAAACGACTTTTATTTGCTGATGATTGGGTGCCAGTATATTAAAGGGATGAATAATTAGTATCAACAGTTCAAGTCCGAACTTTCTTTCAAAATGCAGAAATGAATTTATATTTCTCCAGTAACGAAGATAATTTATTTTGCAAAGTTGATCGAGTTTTCAAGCCAGAAATGGTTTCTTTGACGTGGCGATACAGAAATTTCAAAAACTTTGATTTTGTAATAGATTTTTTTTTTTATTTCCCAAATTACAGGGCCCATAAAGGGCATAAAATCAGATACAATTGATTTACATAATTGGTAACAACAACAATAATAGTCACTTGAAAATATATATTTAGTATATTAGCATTGGTCAGAATCAGAGCCAAAAACCACATATATATATTGTGAATAAAAGAATAAAATTACATTATATGCATTCATTCTCAAATCATTTACTTGACTTAGTGTAATATTATTTGGATTGAGTTTGTTTTACTTACTTTGATTGTGTTTTTCCTCATTTACTGGTAAAGTTGGTAAAAAATATCCTTTCATCAATATGCAGCCATATTTGCTTCAGTAGCAACGAAAGGTCAATCCGGGTCAAACAGCTTGAAGATCGGATTACGAAAAAAGCCGAAAGTAGTGATTAGTGTAGAGTAGTATGCGGATCGGAGCTGGAACTGCCGGGGAGTTTGGGTTCTACCAAAAGTAGTACCCTACACCCCGTAAAAAATATGTCGAATTCCCAAATTTCAATATAAGATTTAAAAAAGATGAAAAAAACGTTACTTTCATGTTACACTTTGTGGTCGAATTTCTCTAAAAATGGCCAGATTTGGACTAAGACCGGGGATAAATTCGTTATTCAGGGTGTTAAAATATCCATATCTACGGATATGAACGTAGATAACTTATATTCTACGTTTCTTTTTTTCTTATATTTATTATTTTTCTTCCACGTTTTTTGTGCAGCTGATATCTTGGAACTTTATGAACCAATGGTCATGGAACTTTACCATAATGTTACCCAGCATGTACAGATGTGCAAACAGGGTATGGCATATTCAAGATGGCGGCCGTTATCATGGAAACTGACAAAATGTGGAAAAATTTCAAAATTCTAAATCTTTCATTATGAGACCAAAGTGAATGAAACTTTATGGAAGTGTTACCTGATATGCCCAGATGTGCATGCAATAGTGAGAAGTTCCAAACTGGCTGTCATTGTCGTGGAAACAGGGCGAAAGTTTAACATTAACCCCACGGGAAAACACGTTGAAACTGCATTTCTTACAAGAATATTGGATCAAATCTAATAAAACTTTATGGTTATGTAACATGGCATGTCCAAAAATTGCACCTGTCTTTGGAATTTTGGAAATGGTAACCTTTACCATAGAAACCACAAAAATTTCAAAATTTTTAAAATGCTCCAAAATTTATGAATTTTAACAACTATGTTAATAGACATCTGTAGATGCGCTCTTTGACTTTGGAATTTTCAAAATGGCTGCCTCCCACCTGGCAATAGGGGAAGGGTGCCATCCGTTATTGCTAGCAATTACAAATCTAGTTATTATTATTATTATTATTATTATTATTATTATTATTTACCTAAAGATGTCTAACCATTTTATTCCAAGCCTTAAATGATGGAAACTTTATATTTGGTATAATGTTGGACTAGTATCCCTAGGGGTGCAGTGACTTTTTTCTTATCTGAAATGGGGGTCATCTTGGCATATTTTAGGGGGTCGAAACATGAGTGGGGTCATTTTTCGAATATGGATTCGCTACTGGTAGAACTTTAATGTTTTGTGTTATACAAGAGACCGACGTCCAGGCGTCTATTCCACATTTTTTTTATTTCAGCCCGGGGTCCCCTTGGCATAATTTTAGGGGTGTCAATTTTCATGGAACATTCTAGAACAATAGGCATGTGATAGTGTTGAATTATTCCTATCACTTTATATGTTATATGATGATAGATTATTATAAGTGGCATCATATGAAGCTGCAATTTGACTTTGGAATTTTCAAAATGGCCGACGTTACCATGAAAACTGCAAAAAAAGTGTAACATTTCAAAATGCTTCAAACTGAATGAAACTTTACACAAATGTTAACTGGCATATGTTGATGTGCTATTTAACTTTGGAATTTCCGAAATGGCTGCCGTTACCATGGATACCGCAGACCAATGATTGGGGGTCCATTTTGGCGACTTTTGTGTTAGCATTCTAAAACAGGCTTACTTGTTATAGTTTTTTTTTTTTCTGTTCTCAGTCTTTTAACACATATTATATGAATTACAAGGGTGCGTCATGTATGATCTTGCCAATAAATGTTCAATTCAATTCAATCCAATTTTTCCAGTGACAGTCCAAATTTCGACCCTTCATCCCAACTTACACACTTTGCAGAACCTACCTGTGAGTTTTCGTCCTGAACGTGCATGAAATAT